AACTTGTCAGCTGCCTTGCCCAGAATGTAAATGGGGAAGAGACAGGTGTCCAGGGGACACTAATTTGCATTTCTCTGATTACTAGTGAGACTGAGCTTCTTTTTACGTGATAATTGCCATGTGTATCCTTTGTGTAAAGCCCTAAGCCTTGTCGAAGAAACAGAACATGCCTCTGTAAAGTAAGACAGCTACAGTTTCTCAAGTATGGATAAAAGACAAAAAGTGAGCTAAAGTTGTTGCTGGAGTTGGACTGGTATAGCATATGTATTTGGGGACTTGTTACAGAAGTAATATTCTAAAGGATACAGATGAATTCTAATTTGAACAGAAGATAAATCTGTAGAGAGCATTTCTTTCAGACAACTCCAATCTAGAATATGAAAATCCACATCTAGAGGCAGATTTATTTAGTGATTATTTGCTTTAAAGACAGCTTTACCAAAGGGTTCTCATAATATTGGGCTTTCCTGGTAGCTCAGTGGGTAAAGAATCCTCCTGCAACGCAGGAGACACAGAAGACAAGGGTTCAATCCCTGGGTCAGGAAGATCCCCTGGAGGAGGAAATGGCAACCCACTTCAGTATTGGAAAATCCCATGGACAAGAGGAGCTTGGTGGGTTACAATCCATGGGCAGCAGTATTGGCTCCACTGTGTGTATATAAAATAGAACCCCAACTTAGAACACACAGTGTTAAGAATGTATCTAATATATCTGATACATAAACAGGTTTCCTAAAGTATTTGCTGTTCTTAGAAGTAAAGCTGTTGCATTTTTAAAGAGGCCCATGGAAATGGGGAATGATACAGGGTATCTTTTCCACTTTGCTCTCCCCTTTTCAAACTACAACAGAAATGGGTAAAGGGTTAATGTCCTGCCTTCTGGTAGGCACAGAATTGCTGCTGGGATCAACCTGAGTGTGATCCAGCCTGGTTCCCAAAACTGCTGGCACCTCTACCCTGAATTCTTCAGGGTGCACACCTAGCCAGCATGTGGCTTCCTAGTCCTGGTTAATGATGGTCCAATCCTCTCCCCATCAAAACTTCTCTACCCAGGCTGTCCCTGAGGTTCATGGTCACCCCTGGAATCTCAGAAGCATGATACAGAAACAATATGAACCTGAATCCCAGTTGCATAGTTTTCCTCCAAGGCCCTCCCTATTATCCAAAAACAGGGTCCTCAATTGCTCTCTAACTCCCTGCGTGCATGCGTGTTATGTTGCTTCAGTCATGTCCTGTTTTTTGCCACCCTATTCACTGTAGCCCACTAGGCTCCTCTGTCCGGGGGATTCTCCAGGCAAGAATACTGGAGTGGGTTGCCGTGCCCTCCTCCAGGGCATCTTCCCCTCGAGGGATTGAACCCCCATCTCTTTCATCTCCTGCACTGGCAGGCTGGGGCTTCCCTTGTGGCTCAGCTGGTAAAGAATCCACCTGCGATGCGGGAGACTTAGGTTCAGTCCTTGGGTTGGAAAGATCCCCTGGAGAAGGGAAAGGCTACTCACTCCAGTCTTCTGGCCTGGAGAATTCCATGGACTATATAGTCCCTGGGGTCACAAAGAGTCGGACACGACTGAGCGACTTTCACTTCACTCTCTACGGCTAGCGCCACCTGGGAAGCCCTCTAACTCCCTGACTGCCTCAGAAATGTGGCCCCACAGACCTCTTTGCTGGTCTCTGCACTTTCCTGGGGTAGGAGCCACTTTATCTTGGAAATGAGAGCCCTGGACATGAACTTGAGCATCAAGAATTGTGTCAGTATCTGAAGTTGGACAGGTTCTCTGCTACCAGGGGGGAGGTCTGCAGGCAGGTTTTAACCCTTCCACGTACATATCATTCTCCTGAAAATAAGGAGTCATGGCTTCCAGGGACCCAGAGATATGATAATTTCTAGAACTTTTCAGATCATAAAATAAATTCTCTCATTTAAAAGTGACATTAAAAAAAAGTGACATACAGAATAGCCTTTCCTAGGTTTCTCCCCTGATTTTCTAGAATTTGTTTAAATTGTCTTTTATTGAGGAGGGCAAATACTTCTATAGCTTGAAACATGTTTGTTCATCCATTTCTTTAATCATCTCTTTCTGTATTCTATTTTTGTTAATCTTCACCATCTAAAATTTTTGGTTAATATCCCTGATTTGAAGTGTGAACTCAATTTTTTTTACTTATTGATCTCTAGCCCCACAGGTATCATTATTTTAAGAATATCTCTCCATTGTTTTGTTTGACTTCTTCATATTAGACTTTGTGTTTCTTTCAGAACCTATTCTATTTCTACTTTGTTCTGCTGGTCTAGGCTTACGTTTCAGAATAAATCCCCAAGATATTATTTTGACTCTTTCCATGTTACAATAAAATCAATGTTCAGGTAAAATTTGTTCTCTCTCACTGTTCCTTTTATAAGCATGCTCTTTATTTTCCCAGATGAATTTTACACTTATTATACGAAGCTCTGAAAAATATGCAATTAGAATTTTAATTGGAATAGAGTTAAAACTCTGATTTACAATTGGAGAGAATTAGTATCTACCACATTTCCTCCTCCTTGAATGTGTTTTGCCCCAACTGCTTAGATGATTCTTGATCATGTTATATTTTTGCCTAATTTTAGGAGCATTAAGCTGTTTTAATTGTATTTTCTTTTTACATCTGATATTGAACTTTGGAGATGGCTCTCATAACCAGACATTTTAATGAACTTTTAAGTAGTCTTTACTAATGTTTGTGTTGACTTCTTTGGGTATATTAGGAATGCATTTTTGTCAGTTGAAATAATCTTTTTATTTCTTTTCCTAGGATTTTAAACTCTCCTAGGCCTTTCCTACCAGGTCTCATGGTTTTAACAACCAGCCATACACAGAGGAAAAGATGAAGGCTGACTGTAAGGACCAATTATTTAACATAATGGGATTCTGAAGAGAAAAGTGACCCAGAAGTCAATGGAAGGATGATTTCAAGGTAGGGGATTTGACCCCAAAATTCCACCTCTCAGAATCTCCCTTAAAATAACTAAAAATATGGCCAATATTTTGATGTGTAAGACTGTTCAGGGTACTTCTTATCAAAGCCAAAATTGGAAAACAACCTAAATGAACTATAATTGGTAGTGGTTTAGTCTCCAGGTCGTGTCCGACTCTTGTGACCCCGTGGATGTAGCCCGCCAGGCTCCTCCATCCATGGGATTCTCCAGGCAAGAATACTGGAGTGGGTTGCCATTTCCTTCTCCAGGGGATCTTCCCGACCTGGGAATCGGACCTGGGTCTCCTACATTGTAGGCAGATTCTTTACCAACTGAACAATAATCAGGAAACAGTTAAAATATGACACTCCATGTGATGGAACTGCATGTGAGCATTGAAAATAATGCAAGGAGCATTTGATCAATTAAGGAAATGGTCATGAATTGTTTACTTAAAAGACAAGATATGAACTCTATATAATGTGATCACAGGAATGTAAACTGCAAATATAAACATGTATGCACAGAAGAAAGAACTGGAAGATATGTTACTTGCAGTTATCTCCAGATTGTGGCAAGGTGATACATTTTCCACAATGACCATGTGTTACTTCATGATGAAAAATAATTCTACTATAAACCTAATAGTTGTGCCCCAACCCCCAAATTCATAAGCTGAAGTCTAACCCCAAATGTGATGGTATTTGGAGGTGGAGCCGTTAGCAGATCATTAGCCATGTGGGTGGGAGCCCTTACAAATAGGACAAATGCCCTTATAAGAAGAGACACCAGAGGGATGGTGATCTAATTCTCTCCACCACGTGAGGACATAGGAAGAAGACAGGTGCCTGCAAACCAGGAAGTGGATCCTCACTAGATAACAGATCCACCAGTGTCTTGATCTTGGACTTCCCAACCTCCATGCTGTGAGAAATAAATGTTTTGTTTAAGCTACTCACTCTCGGGTATATTTGTTAGAACAGCCCAAATGGACTAAGACAAACACCATATTATTTATTATCAGTACAAAATGTGGAGGCTTCCCAGATGGTGCAGTGGTAAAGAACCCGCCTGCCAATGCAGGAGACACAAGAGACGTGGGTTTGATCCCTGGGTTGGGAAGATCCCCTGGAGAAGGAAATGGAAACCCACTGCAGTATTCTTGCTTGGGAAATCCCACGGAGAGAGGAGCCTAGCGGGCTACAGCCCAGTTGGTCACAAATAGTTGGACATGGCTGAGCACAGCACACACACACACACACAAAGTAGAAGAATGAGGAATAGATAGTCAAGGGATAAGAAGAAAATAGACCCCAGGATTTAGCCATTACAGTTAAGTCACTAGCATTTGAGTCAGGTGCTATGGGCATGAAGGAGAAAGTCCTGTGCCCTTGATTAAGCACCTATACTCCGATTAAGCACCTAAATCATAGGATGCAGCTGAAAAGCCTCTGGACCTGCTAGGGGCATTGTTATTCTTAGGGTCAGGGTAGGTGTGATAGATTCAAGATGGCTGCACATACTTTGCTTCTCCTCCAACTGAGGGGGTGGAATTTAATTCATCACCCCTTAAACCTGGGTTGGCCTTCATGTCTTCCTTCCTCGGTAGAGTGCAGTGGAAATGACATCCTGGAACCTCCAGAGTCTAAATCGTGAGCAGCATTAGTTTCCACCAGGTCTCTTAGAATTCTGAGGGAGCCTTGAGGAGCTGAGCGAGAAGTCCAACTATCCTGCTGTAGTGGGGGCCTCCCCAGCCCCAACCGGAGGCATGATGGGCCTTTCCCTCCGCGGTGCCAGCCTGCATTAAGCCAGGAGCTGCTCCCCCACACCTCTCTGCCCAATGTCACGCCTAGTCCACCAGGCTGGCCCACTCCTGCCACCCACCCGCTATCCAAGCGGGCAGGTGGGAGCTCCTCTCCTGGGGTGCCAGCTCTGGGGCCGCCTCATCAGTCATCGGCTGTCTTGGGGGGCCAGCGGCAGACTGAGCCCAGGGCGCCTGTGACCTCTGACAGGGATACCTTTCAACTGTCTCTATGTGGCCACCATGATCTCCACTGCCTACATACCTCGCTCCTGTGAGGAAGGACAAGGATGCCGGAGCGGCTGGGTACTTCTTCAGAACCGCCTCTTTATGGAGTCGCACCTCTCTGCTCCAGGTGCTGTGGCAGGGAGGTGGACACGAGCTGTAGTGGCCCTGCTCCATCACTGGTTGGTGCCACAGTGCGCCCCGCCCCCAAGCAAGTGACCGTTAGTGAGTAACTGTCAACCACGACCGTTAGTGGTCCTGCTCCACCATAGGTCGGTGCCACAGTGGCCCCGCCCCCTCATCTCGTATATAAAAGGAGCCCAACCTGTCTGAGGTAAGGTGATTTTCTGAGATGCTAATCTGCCATCTTCTCAGTCTGCTAGCTTTCAATTAAAGCTAAATGACTAAGGCTAAATTTAGCTAAAGCCAAAATGACTTTCAAAGTCATTATTCCTTGTTCTTACAATTCATTTCCCTATGTCTCGGCCTATCTGCGGCAAGCAGAACAAGCTCGGGCTCAAGTAACACTGTCACTCATGATGGGAGAAGTCTCCTACGGGTCTCCCCTCAACAGTGCCAGCTGAACCCAGCCTTTCAACCATCTCTGCCAAGGCAACAGATGTGCAAGAAAAGCCATCTTGGACCCCTTCAACCACATTCCCACCATACCTCCTCTGCTGCTGCTGCTGCTGCTTGCTAAGTCGCTTCAGCCGTGTCCAACTCTGTGTGATCCCATAGACGGCAGCCCACCAGACTCCGCTGTCCCTGGGATTCTCCAGGCAAGAACACTGGAGTGGGTTGCCATTTCCTTCTCCAATGCATGAAAGTGAAAAGTGAAAGTGAAGGCGCTCAGTCGTGTCCGACTTCTAGCCACCCCATGGACTGCAGCCCACCAGGCTCCTCTGTCCATGGGATTCTCCAGGCAAGAGTACTGGAGCGGGGTGCCATTGCCTTCTCCGATACCTCCTCTAGTGATTACTAAAAGACTTCTACAGATAACAGAGAAAATGGAGGAATCACCCTGCCACACCCTCCTTGAATTCCTGACACATATTTGGGAAATATTATGTTTCAAGCTAGTACATTTGGGTTAGCTTTTTATGCAGCAATAGATAACTGAACAGTGGAATGTTATCTATTTTTGCAAGAGTTGTTCTTTATTTGGGCAGAAAAGTTGCTGGGCTTCTTGGTGAGTTTCTTTCTGGCATCTATAGGGATCATGTACCTCTGGGTACCTCTGGTACCTCTTGTAAGAATTCTAATTTTCACAAGCTTCAGCCTCTTAAATCATCCCTTAAAAACTCCCCCAGGAAAATATCCATGCCTTTCTTCTACAGTGACTATCAGCTAATGGCTTTATTTGAATTGAACTTAGATAGTAATCAAAAGATTTGAATGAGGGCAGAAAGGTGCTCTGGAAAGGAAGGTGCCACATGAAAATGCCTGGAGAAATTTCCCAGCACTGGCAGCGTGCTGGCCCCAGTCAGGAGGGCGAGGCTGGACCCAGGGGTGGGTAGGGCTCTGGGACAAGCTCTTTCATTGTCCCCACTGTAGAGGCCTGCTGTGTGGGGGCTGTTACCGCTCCCCTCCCCCACACCTGCAATGAGTTCTTTAAAAGGTGTGGCGTGCACGTCTGGCCATTGAGTTGTTAGAGGCCAGTGGGTCCCCAGCCATCATCTAACCCCACCCCCTCATTTTTACAGAAGAGGACATGTCTGTCTGAGATGGATGGAGGCATTCTAGATTATAGTTTGTAACAGGCAGAGAAGTAGCAAAGAGCCCAATCTACTGACTGGAGACGTGCACAAGGGTGTCTATTTTTATGTTTGTGTGTCCAAGCTCTCACATACCCTAACATAGTGTCAGTACCTGATGAGAAATGGTGCATGCATGCATGCTGGGTTGTGTCCAACTCTTTGTGACCCCGTGGACTGTAGCCCGCCAGGCTCCTCTATCCATGGGATTCTCCAGGCAAGGATACTGGAGTGGGTTGTCATTTTCTCCTCCAGGGGATCTTCCTGACCCAGGGATCATACTTGTGTCTCTTGTGTCTCCTGCACTGGCAGGCATATTCTTTACCACTGAGCCACTTGGAAAGCCCTGACAAGAAATGGGAAGATAGTAAATCTTCATTTTCAGCACGCAATCAGTAGGTTCATCACCTGCTGGTTTACTAACTTTCCCTACCAACAATAAATATTATAAGGTTCTCCCTCACAATTGCTTATCAATAGGCAGAGACTTATTTGACTAGAGTCAGGTGGGCCTGAATAGAACTGAGTCTTGAGGGGAAAGGGGAAACTTCAGAGCTGGTGGGAAAGAGGCACCCCCTCTTCCTAACCACCCCCCAGAATCTGGGCAGGTGGAGGCCCTACCTCTGCAGCTTGGCCCTGCCCTGGTAGCACCTGTTATTTTAAGGCTTTTGGAACTGATGTCAGGACATTGAGTTTGCTGGGAACATGCTCTGAAAAAAATCTTGCTCTGGGTACATGTCTTTCTGTCAACCATATGTTGTTTTCTCTTTTCAGTTTCCGAATATGAATGTGCGGCTCTTTGTGTGAACTAACAAAGAGTTACAGATGGAAAGATTCAATAGGTAATATTTACAACCAGGCTAATTTTCTTAATGGAGCTGCTGCAAGAATTTCCTTTTTGAAACTCTTCTGGTGATTTATCTTTACAGAGCTTGTCATCTATTTCAAGTTTTTGTTCACCCTAAGTCCATGACTGAGACCAGAAAAAATTAGCAACACTTTATACTCTTTCTGGTCTTTGAAATTCTCTATGAGATTTTAGATTGAGCAGCAAGAGGTATTGAATTTTTATTGACAGCTGTCTCTAAGAGGTGTACTTTTACTCAGAATACTTCAATATGCTTCCAAGTTGAGGCCTAAGATGGTTCATGCATGCTGTTTTTAAAACTTAAGTGATTCTGAGATAATATAACCATTTCAAACAAATATCAATGCATATGGCCCAGAAACTAGATGAACTCTGCTCCATCGCCTGCTCCTTCCTCCACATGCTGTGTTTATGGTGAAATGATGGGTTTGTTCTCTTTGTTCAGACCTTGTTTATTTTGCAGCACTTTGTTGTCTCTTTGTTCAGCTCTTTGGTTTTGCAGCACAAGCATTTTGTTTTACGTTCCAGACAACATCTGTCTGGTACAAAATCTCAGCCGGTTTCTGTGTTACCTGGGCAAAGGAGACTGTGCGAGTGCCCTCAGAGGCCTGTAAATTCTCTCGGCAAACACTGCGCAACCAGCTCTCTGGGGCTTCCCTGGGGATGCACCATTCTGGAAATAAATCTGAATAAAAAGAATAAAATAAAGAACTTACAGTTGTCTGAGGCAATGATCTTGAAAGTGTGAAGAAAGTGAAAACTCAGTCATGTCCAACTCTTTGCGACCCTATGTAGCCCACCAGGCTCCTCTGTTCATGGAATTCTCTGGGCAAGAATACTGGAGAAGGTTGCCATTCCCTCCTCCAGGGTGTCTTCCCAACCCGGGGATCAAACCCAGCTCAACTGCATTGCAGGCAGATTCTTTACCATCTGAACCACCCAAGGCAATGATCTTAGCTAAATTTAATACCAAAGAAGAGAGTAGTGAAATAAAGACTGTAATTATTCTGGCCTTCCTTATTTCTTGAGAGTTTCTCAACTGTGGTCACCTGAGAAGTTCTCTCTTAGCAAACCCTGTGAGTCTTCACTGATAAAGTAAGTTAACAAACCTGTTTGGCTCAGCAAAAGCAACGTTCTTATGAATTATCATTTTACACCAGCACATATATGCACAGGTGGACTCAGTAGACCCTGCTTCATTTCACAAACACTCAAGCGACTTCATCTGAACTGTTTAGAATGCAACATTGTGAAAACAAGAAGTTAAAACATCAAGCATAAGAATTTTTTAGGCTAGAGAACCTGCAGTTGGCAATTCTTTCTGGGGAAAAATGTGATATAACATTTGTGTAACTATTTTAAAATTTCATCAAGGATTTCAGAGTCCATCCTTTGGGGGAACTGACTGAATCTTGGAAGAGCTCTCTGTACTGATAGGAATTGAACTGGAGACCTGAGAACACTGGGGTCCAGTCCAACCCCAGGAAGAGTGCTGTGCAGAACCAAGAGAGGCACATGAAAGTGAAAATGAAGTCGCTCAGTCATGTCTGACTCTTTGGGACCCCATGGACTGTAGCCTACCAGTCTCCTCTGTCTGTGGGATTTTCCAGGCAAGAGTATTGGAGTGGGTTGCCATTTCCTTCTCCAGGGGATCTTCCTGACCCAGGGATAGAATCCTGGTCTGCCGCATTGCAGGCACAACAACAACCTTGACCCTGGAGCCCCGTCTGAAGGCAGGGGCCTGCCCTGTTAGGTATGATCAGAACCGGGAAGAGGGGCTCCAGACAGAAAAGCTGACCTTTCGGGTGGAGCAGTGGCCAACGCAGGGCTGGGGAGTGAGGAGCAGCAGGTGTGCTGGTGCACGATTAGCATCTAGCTCTCTAGGAAAAATACACGTCTCTGTGTCTTGTCAATTTTACGGATAAAAAGGATGTGTAGCACCCAGTTTACAAATAATACTAGCATATACCATACTCGATTATATATTTCATATAGCCATCTGAGTTTCTCACAAAAATTTTGTTTTTGTCAAATCTTTATACCCACAGTCACCTGTAGTTGTAAACCAACCATTTTTTGATAAGTGGAGTTACATTCCAATCCACTATTTTTCCGATAAATTTATTGTCCTTAATTATGACTTGGGGTGTACCATCAAACTCACTCTGGTACGTTATACGCATTAAGCAGAAGTCTCTTTCAGCTTCACCACAAGATCACTTTGACAATTTGGCATTCGAGGGATCAGAATCTGAAAAATAATATTATGTTATACTAGTAAAAGTCATGATAGAGGTTAATAGAAAAATGTTTGTAAGTAATTTCTTTATATAATTTTAGAAATGAAATTAATTTTAAACTAAAACACTGACCTTATTTTTAAGTTTACACCTCTGTATCAGCATGACTTGCTGTTTCTTCAAAGTCTGCCATCAGTTTTCATTATTCTATCAGCAACAACCATGTCATGAAGTCAGACTATGGCTAAATGCTTGATTACAACTTAAATTCAGTGGACAAGTTGCTCACATCATTGATGGATGAGTGTAGTTCTTTTTTTTTTTTTAATGAGTGTAGTTCTAACATGAATGTAGGTTAATATTTTCATGTGCTTTGACATAAGATGGAAATGAAACAATGAACACAGATACTGGAATTTCATTCATTTATCATGACGTGAGTAACTTCCCTGCTGAATCAACTATTTCTGTTACTGGGGAGGTTTCTGATAAACAGTAGGCTATTAGTAGTTAATTGGGGGGAATCAAAAGTTACATGTGGGTTTTCCACTACAAAGCAGTGGGCACCACCAACTCCTATGCTTTTCAAGGGTCAACTGTAGTTTGATTGTGGTAATAATTTCACCATGTATATATTTTTTTTAATGTCGATCATTTAAAAAGTCTTTTATTGAATCTGTTACAGTGTTGCTTCTGTTTTATGTTCTGGTTTTTTGGCTGTGAGGCAAGTGGGATCTCAGCTTCCCAATCAGCGATAGAACCCATACCCCTACAACCCTTTACCTTTGGAAGGTAAAGTCTTAACCACTGGACCACTGAGGATGTCTTTCACAATGTATACTTTCCTTTTCTTAATTTTTGCAACTTTTTACTATTCTTTTAAATAATTTCCTATGTTTTTCAACCCTTCTACAATTACATGTATGCCAATTTTCTTAACTTCTTTTTAAAATATTTTTATTGATATATATAGTTGATTTACAATGTTATATTTCAAATGCTCATTTTGGCTCATCATTCTGAACAGAAAGTTTGCCAATCTAAGTATTGAAAGCATTTCTTCAAGGGAATGCTCCTCCAATTTTATCAAAATAAGTAATGAAAGATTCGGTTTAGCAAAACTGAATTTACAGTCAAATTTGTAATGTAAACAAAAATAGTTATGCACAGAACTTTGCATTAGATACAGTAAAAATAGAGACTAATGGGAAACAGTTAAAATTACAAGTTTATAATTGGAATCCCATGAAAATTTTCTACAGGAGCCTTTTAAAATGTAACAGAAGCTGATGCACCATGGAGGAAAGTTTACTCCTTTTGGTGGTGTCTTTGAAACTGAGGATACTCATCCCTTGGATCCATTCCTCCCGTAACCTGCCTTCACAGACCAAGCTCGTTTTCTTTAACGGTTGTGACAAAAACTTGCGCGCCCTCCAAGCAGCACAGAGCCTAAACAATAAGACATTTGCCCAACAGGCACTTAAGACAGGTTAGGACCGCTGACTCTCCAGATGGTCATGCACAAATGTCCCCTTGGTGACCTCTTGATGACACAGGACCAAACCCTCCACACTCAGACCATCCCAGTGCCACGGTTTTCTGAAACTGTGTCCTGTGAAGAAGCCTGCAGTTTAGCCAAACCTTCACAGAGTGATTACCTCACCTTTTTCTTATTTCCAATCACCTTTCCCCACGCCCCCCCATGCCTCAGCCTGCCCTGCTTCCTTGTCGCATAAAAACCTCCGAGCCCCTTCCCTTCTGGGAAGTATTTCTGAGATTTCTCCTGTCTCCTCGCTTGGCTGACTCATAAAGCTTTTCTCTGCTGCAGACCTCCTTATCTCAGTGTTTGGCTTGCTGTGGGCTCCCCTGGTGGCTCAGTAGTAAAGAATCTGTCTGCAATGAAGGAGAAGCAGGAGACATATGTTTGATCCCTGAGTTGGGGAGATCCCCTGGAAGAGGAAATGGCAACCCACCCCAGTATCCTTGTTGGCAAAGTCCCATAGACAGAGGAGCCTGGTAGGCTATGGTCCATGGGATTTCAGGGAGTCAGACACAAATGGGCATACAAGCATGCACGTGCAGGGCAAGCGGGGCAAAAGCACCTGTTGGCTAACAACACAACGTAGCAGCTGCCTAGATGGTGTTGAAGAATTCACTTTGTCACAATGATTTTCCAGGTGATACTCGAAGTGAGGTTCAGTATCTTAAGAATAATGGCATCTTTGTTCTTTATTACATTTTCTGCCATTACAATCAATATTGATTAAGTCGTCTAAAAATAAGTTGTGTACTGCTAAGGACTGTGAGAATATTCAAAGAAAGATGTCTAGGAAAACAAAACCAAGCCTGTCACGTGGCTTTCATAATTTGTTACTTTCTTCTCATTTGGCTGGTTTTTGTTGCTCTGCCTTCATGCTCTCAAATCATAATTTCATCCTAATTCATTCTTCCGACTACCTTTGGTGCTCAGATATTTTTCCCACCCTATTTCAAGCTTGATTATGATCTGTCTCCAAGTATTCTCTAGAAAAAAAAATTTTTTTACCATAATTTATATTTCAGCACCTCAAAATGTGCTGTATCACTGTTTACTTATAACACTTGCTCCTCACCCACCTCCATCTACCCCTACCTCCGGGGCACATGAACCAGAGTTGAGCAAAGAATTCACACTGGAAATATTTTTGGACTTGAACTGATTTGACTCTGCTTTTGCAGACTGATTTACGATTATAAATTCCTCTCTGGCCTTAGGCAGAATAGGTAATATTCTGGGCTCAGAGGATCTGCCAAAAGGACCAGACCTTTATACTATAACCCATGTCCTTTTCTCATCAAATTCAGACTGTTTACGACTCACAAGCCACATCTCAGATAACTGACTCTTAGGCTTTATTTTTTCCCATTCAAAAAACCCCCTCTTAGCCCCTAAAAGAAATGTAAAGGAGGAAAACACGGTGAATATGATTCATCCATGTCACTGCACACATTAGTAGTGCCTATTTTTCTATTGACAAACCCTTGGATTGTTTCCAATTTTGAGCTATAACAAATTTAATTGCTGTGAATATTCTGGTACATGGCATTGTGTGAGCCTGGGTTTTCATGTCTCTTGGGTACCTAGTAGAATGATTGGGTCATATGGTAGATATATGTTTAATTTTATAAGAGAGTAGCTAGTTTCCACAATGGTTGCACCATTTTTTCACTCTACCAGCAATGGACTCAATCTTCTGGTAATTATCACCAAATTCCTCCCCCAAGATAACTTTACTAACACTCTCCAAAAGTGAATGAAGGTCTATTTCTCATAATCTCACCAACATTGTTGGTTATCAATCTTTTTTATCTTTGCCAATCTGATAATTAAAACAATGACTCATTGTTTGGATACGCACTCCTTTTCTGAAAGAGCACTCATAAAGTGTCTATATTTAGTTGGTAATAAACTCATAAGCATTTGGCCACAGGGGACTCTGGTCCATGCCAGGTAGGTCAGACCTGGGACCTGACTTGGAGGTGGGGGACAGTTAGTAGGAGGAGATCCGGTTCAGGGAAATCACCAACAGCTAGAAAGAACAGAAATTCTATGGTCAACACCCCGCGGGGTCCAGGCAGCAGAACTGGGAAATACGCGCCAGGGTTCTCAGCTAAGGAAGTGGGCACAGAGGTGTCACAAAGCCTAAGATAGAAAGTTAGATTTTTTTTTTAGGAATAAATCCCCAAATGGGCTCTGTATAAAAGACACTAAGGCAACAGTAACAGAATGGGACTGTGTATTTATAAAAGGCATTAAAGCGGAGAACTTCCAGTTCATGAACAGGCTGCGTGTATGATGGCTTATGATCCTTCCAAATTGCTGTGGATCTCATTTCCCCATTACACAGTGTTTTAATAAGAAATGAGGGTCCTGATCAATGCCTGATGCACAACAAAAAAACTAAATTATACTGAACAACCATAACTGCCAAGTGGGACAGTCTGAGTTTCGTGGTGACAACAGGAATAAATCACCTCTGGCAAACTTAAGAAGGAAAAACAGTGCCTTGAAAGGATGACGAGTAACCCAGAGAATTGACGGGAACATTGAGAAGCAAGGCTTGGGAAATGGTTGGAACAAAAGAGAGCACTGGCAGCTGGGAACACCGCCAGACTCTGCTGAGAGGGACGGCCAGCCGGGAATGTGCCACTGCCACATGGCCCCGCACGCTGGACATCACCACGGGCTGCTGGCCGCCCTGCGGCCTCATCTGGCGGTCATCTTCCACTGCCTCTTTGCTTCACTCCTGGAGGGTGAGCATCCCAGGTCCCAGAACACAGCTGGCCAAGCCTGGGCTCCACACTCACACCTTTGTCACCAGCAGCAACGGGAGGGACTGGCTGTCACTCTCCCTCTCCCATGGTGGGGAGCAAGTAACTCCTTTCCTGGGCTTCCCAGGTGGCGCTGGTGGTAAAGAACCCACCTGCCAGTACAGGAGACATAAGGGACGTGGGTTCAATCCTTGGGTCGGGAAGATTCCCCTGGAGGAGGGCATGGCAACCCACTCCAGTCTTCTTGTCTGAAGAATCCCATGGACAGAGGAGCCTGGTGGGCTATAGTCTCTGGGGTTGCAAAGAGTTGGACACGACTGAAGTGACTTAGCATGCATGCATGTAACATTACTGCCAACCAGGAAGGGTATTCAGAGGCAACATAACAAACAAATGAAGACACAACAAAAAGGTCTTCTCCAAAGAAAACAAATCTGTTATCCTTGGTGTAGTGGCAAGCTTAAGGCAGAACAGTCCCAAACACTGACATTATGCTTGGTATAAGGCATTTTTCAACTGCACTGAGCAATCGTATTCTGAAGCGATTCAGCCTAGTCACATGTCCTGCAGATCTCCTTAAAAGCTGTCCACATAATGCTTTCTCCTTTTATCAATCATCTCACAGTATTAATTACAGATGTGGCAGGAGAGTAATAAGATGAATTTTTTTTAAACACACACATCAAATTGTTTACATCTAAATGTCTGTGGTCTTCCTTTCCAGCTGCCACCTTGTGGGTTGCATGCACGTTCCAACAAGTTGGGCATCTGCTCAACGCTCTTCTCATAGACATGTGGTCCAGCATTCACCATAAAATTGGCTCCAATTTTTTTTTTAAATGTTGAATACCAGTTTTAAAAAGACAAGGTAGGTTTGCTGACTTGCATGAAACAGCAATGAATCACACCATATAGCTGCAAGTGTTGCGTGATTGGACCTCAAAAATGCAATGTTGGACTTCCCTGGTGGTGCAGTGGTTAAGACTCAGCACTCCCGCTCTAGAGGGCATGGGTTCGATCCCGGGTTGGTGAAGTTCCATATGCCATGTGGAAAAAAAAATTCTATGTTGAAAAAAAGAATCAAGCTATAAACGAAAATATAAGCAGAAGTTACAACTCCAGTCACGAAGAGGACAGTCATGTACATTTAGACAATATATAGTTTAGTCAGATATGCATATATGGTCAAATTATGAAGAAAACTAAAGGAATATTCACAAAAATATTTTCCTCTAATGGGGGATGTCATCAGAGAGGCACAAAAAGGAGGTTTTAAATGATATAAGCATTATCATTCTATCGATTTAATCTGAGAGGTAAGACTGTGGACATTCATTACCATTCTTTAAACATATATATATATACACAGTTACATGATCTTCTGATAGATTGATGACAAAGATTTAAGAAAATTATCCAAACATAGCCTTCTTCCACAAAAAAGGAAAAGGAAAAAGATAAGGTGCAGGACTATCTTATATTGTGCTGGGAATGCAAGGACCCTTATCACAAAATTGTTAATAAATTGGAAAAAGTAGAAACAAATCTCCACATGTATGAGTATGTGAGATAAATTATTATGTGTTGGATAATAATATGTTGCTATTCAGGAAAGTCTTCTAAAAATATTTAATAATGCAGGAAGATACTAATGCAGCAATACTAATTCATTGTTAAATGAAAAAGGCTATACATAATCTTAGTTTAGACAGCAATAGATGTGATAGAGCATACGGTCAATAAAAGACTTGAAAGAAGCACCATAATATTTACAGTGACTGCAGCTGGGTAGTGTTAGATTTATTTTCTTTGTTATGCTCTACAAATATTTTGGAAAACACAAATGAACATGAGTTCATTCTACAATGAGGGGAAACATCATTTTTACAGTGAAAAAAAATCAGATCATTGTTTAACTTTTCTTAAAGGTAGATGGTGTTGCTTTATGGCCCCAGGACACTCTCCCCTTGCTCCTGCCTGCTTTAGCTCAGTGTACCTCAGAGGTGCCCCAGGGTACCTCTCATCCTGTCTTCCCTGTGTGACTTCCAGAGCCAAGAGTAGAAGGCAATCAGACCGTGAAGAGGGGCTGGGGTCTGGGGGTGGGGCCCAGACGGAAGCAGCAAGGGGCATCCGGACCATCCCAACCGTCAGCTGCTGCTCACAGTCTCTCCTCCCCGGCCCTGCTGACTGGGTCCTGGGGCTGGAGATGCTACCTGAGCTCTGTGAGCAGGCATCTGGCTGAACATCGATGTCTTTCTTTAGAACGTGGATACATGGGACTTCCCTTGGTGGCACAGTGGCTGAGACTCGGAGTTCCCAATGCAGGGGGCCTGGGGTTCAATCTCTGATCAGAAAACTAGACCCCATGAGCCGCAACTAAGAGTTTGCATGTGGCAACTAAAAAAAAAAAAAAAAAAAAAAAGATCAGGCTGCAACAAAGATTGAAGATTCTTTGTGCTGCAACTAAGATCCAAAGCAGCCAAAGAAATAAATAAAATATTTGTTTCACGTGGATATGTTAGTTTCCTATGGCTGTTGTAACAAATTAGAACAGCTCAATGGCTTCTAGTCATGTGTGGCTTACCAGTCATCAAGTATGGATGTGACAGTTGGACTATGAAGAAGGCCGAGCACTGAAAAACTGATGCTTTTGAACTGTGGTGTTGGAGAAGACTCTTGAGAGTCCCTTGGACTGCAAGGAGATCAAACCAGTCCAGCCTAAAGGAGATCAGTCCTGGGTGTTCACTGGAAGGACGGATGTTGAAGCTGAAATTCCAACAATTGGGCCACCTGATGCGAAGAACAGACTCATTGGAAAAGACCCTGCTGCTGGGAAAGATTGAGGGTAGGAGGAGAAGGGGATGACAGAGGATGAGGTGGTTTGATGGCACCACCGACTCAATGGACATGGGTTTGAGTAAATTCCAGGAGTTGGCGATGGATAGGGAGGCCTGATATGCTGCAGTCCATGGGGTCGCAGAGTCAGACATGACTGAGCAACTGAACTGAACTGAATTTATTGGCTTAATATAACAGAAATTCATTCTTTTATTAGAGCAGGGCTCTGTTCTTTTTGGAGTCTCTAGGAGAGACTTTCTTGCTTTTTCCAGCTTCGTGAGGTCAGCCTCACGGCTGGTCCTCCAGGCCAGCCTCGTGGACCTTCAAAGCCAGCGATGCCGCGTCTCTTTGGCTTTCCTTCACAGTTACATCTACCTGACTGACCTCAACGAGAGAAGTTTCCCTTAAAGACTCAGTTGATAATAAAGGATAATAAAGGAAAGTCTCCCCACCTCCAAGTCTTTATCCTTAGTTCTATTTTCAAAGTCCTTTTTCCACGGTAGGTAAACACTCACAGGTTCTGAAGACTAGAATGTGGACACTGGAACTTGCCTGGTGGCCCAATAGTTAAGAACCCACCTGCCAATGCAGGGGACGTGGGTTAGATCCCTAGTCAGGGAACTAGATCCAACGTGCCATGCGGCAACTCGGCCTGCGTCCTACAGCTACCGAACCCCTCAGACCCTAGGGCCCATGCTCCACAACAAGAGAAGCACCTCAATAAGAAGCCCACACACCACAGCTAGAGAGTCGCCCCTGCTCACCACAACCAGAGAAAGCCCATGTGCAGCAACAAAGACCTATCACAGCCAAAAATCAATGATTTAATTTTTAAAGATACGTTATTTAAAAAGAGAATGTGGACACCTTTGGGGAACCATTATTCTGCCTACCATAGCAGGCCGTGGTGCCTGGCTTGCCTTAGTATTGGTTGTTTTTGTTGTTGTTGTTGCTTTCAACCTTACTTGTGATCCCAGGACCACAGGACAAGTCCCACTCAGCATCTTATCAAATGTTGCTCCTCCAGTAGAACAGACTTCCCAATAAATGATATCTATTCCATGGAGCTGTCATAGGAACACATGGTGCTGTGCCAGCTAAAGGGCTTAGCATACTGCCTGGCACACAGGAAGGGCTCAACGAGCGTGCCAGCATCGTCAGCGGGATTTTTACATAGAGAGACCGCCAGGGCCAGCTTCTTGGATATATATAACCTGAATATCCAACCAGCCCATCCTAAAGGAAATCAGTCCTGAATATTCATTGGAAGGACTGATGCTGAAGCTGAAACTCCAATACTTTGGCCACCTGATGCAAAGAACCGACTCATTGGAAAAAACCCTGATGATGGGAAAAATTGATGGTGGGAGAAGGAGACTACAGAGGATGAGATGGTTGGATGGCATCACCAACTCAATGGACATGAGTTTGAGCAAGCTCTGGGAGTTGGTGATGGACAGGGAGGCCTGGTGTGCTGTAGTCCATGGGATCGCAAAGAGTCAGACACAACTGGGTGACTGAACTGAAACCTGAACAGTCACAAAGGCCTCCTCTCAGAAGACTCTACCATTGGATTAATGCTCTGCTGCTATTATCTTGAAATTCTTAGTAATATTTCAACAAGGGACCCCACATTTTCATTCTGCACTGAGCTCCATAAATTATAAAGATGTTCCTGACGATCACTCCACATGGGAAATTCATTCATAGCCAATTTCCTAAATTCACAGTTCCTGCTGAACACGTAATAAAGCTCTTTTCTTGTAGAGCATGATCTTAGTTTTATTTCCCCATAAAGAAGATCCTAAAATAAGGACTTGGGTGCAAAGTGTTTATTTGAGAAGCACCATGAGGGTACAGGGCAGTGAGACAGGGTAAGAGAATGGTGAATAAAGGATCCATTCATGAGAGAGTCACTGGTGTGGGCTCAAGCCTGCTGGGGAGTCTCTTAGACACTAGGTCACAAAGACCTCGGAACTGTCCCTTCAAGGAAGAGGTGAGGAACTAGGGGTGCTTTTCTGCCTGTCTCCATCCCTCACTGGTTAAGTGTTGCTCCTGAGGTGTGAATCTACCATTTCTTCCGGTGTGTGCCAGGCGTGGTCTGAAGCCCAGTGTCAAGAAGACCCAAGGCCTTGAGATAGGAA